TTTATCGTGGGCTTTTCCTGAGAATCTGGATGGGCGGCGTCCGAGAGAAGCAACTGGCGTCAACCGTCTGTGCCCTGCCTTCTCTGGCGCAGCTGCAGGACCAGCCCCGCCAGCGCCCATGCCTCCCATGCCTTAAATTGCTGGCTGAGCAAGACCATGAGTCCAGCTTGCTCGGTGGAGTCATGCACAACGTTAGCCAGCCGAGGCGCCCATCATTGCTGCCATGGGGTTCATGGCATTCATCCCTGGCTGCGGAGGCGCGCCCCCGGCTTTGGCCATCATCTGCTGCATGTTCATCATGTTCATCCTGAGCCCAATGCACAGCACTAGACTCACTCTAAAGTCGCGGAGAAAACGTGATATAGCGCCTGAAAGTGTGACTCAAGGCAGTACAAGGCTCATCATCATGGCCATCATCGGGTTGTTGCCACCCATCGGTCCCATCATGCCAGGGCAGCCAGCGCAAGCGCCGGGGCATCCGGGACAGGCTCCACAGCCACCCGGGCAACAGGCGGGACATGCAGCGGGACAGCTAGGGCAGCCTGGACAGCTTGGGCATGCTGGACAGCCAGCTGGAGGACAGCCAGCTGGAGGACAGGCTCCCGGCGGTCGCGGGCAGCCGCAGCCGCAGGGACCGCAGCCGCAAGGGCAACCGCAAGGGCCACAGCAACCGCCGCACGGACAGCCGCAAGCACAACCACAGCCAGGACAGCCGCAGCAACCGGGACAGCCCCCGCAAGGGCCACCGCAGGGCGCTGGCCCAGAACCCGCGGAGCCGCCTTCCGCAGGAACCAGAGCTGCGTCCTTGCTCTCCATGGCTGGACACCTCTACGTTGTGGTGTCAAAGCTGAACTGTTTGCACCGATCTTCTTGGCTAGGCTAAGAATGCGTGTGGCTGATCCGTTGCAAGCGCACAGAATTCGACCAGCACATCAAACGATGTTCGGGAGCTAGGGCAAGTTGATCTGAGCTTGGTTGCATGATGCTCTAACTTTGGGCGGCATGCTCTGCACTATTCACATCTGCTGGGCCCTGTCATGCTTCTTCCTTCCTATGGATTGACTCCGCATGACTGATGTGCAAGCGAGACAACGTAGCCACAGTGCTGTTTAGCTCCAGAACAGTGCTCAACTGCGACAGCGTGCACTTGCAGCACTTGCAACCTGTACGTGCTGAAAGCACTGACACTTACCTCTTCCGCTTTGGCACGCTTCTGTCTTCGACGAGCTCGGGGGTCCACTTTGACGTCAGACTAGCGACCGCGGCTGTCGCGACGTTCTCGCCGATCGCGACTGCGACTGCGGTCTCGCTTGTGGCCCCGGTCATTGCCTCATATCTGGGCTGTGCATGCGACATGTTCCCGGCACCTGTGTGTGCTGAACGACTTACCGAACATCCGTTCTCTTGGAAATGCAGCACGAATTCCGCAAAACCTGGTGCTGAGATGCACGCTGCCGAGCATGAACCGTTAAAGTGACAGGCATCTTGGCTGCTGCATAGGTGCGGTCTCTGCCGCCATCACGGTCTCTACCTCAAACGTGGTATCTACCCACCATGGTCCGCAACACCCCGCTGCTTTTACCACACACGCACACAGAGACTCTGCTCCCCACGCTCGCCGTCGTCTTTGCCGTCCTTGCCACCGCCTTTGCCCTTCGCTGGTCGGTCTGGTGGATCTGGCAGGTCACCGCCATCAATTAGTTGTCTGGCGATCTTGCACAGCCTCGGAGCACTGGGTCAGCAAAGGAATTGCCAATCTTCAGACGCCGAAGCCCGCAGAACAGTCCCTTCTCTCAATTTGCAGCTGTCTTTCAGAATCGTCACTCAGAGAAAAAAACTACATCCTTAAGAGGATGAGGCCAAGGGGCTGTCCAACAACCCTCCCACCCCAACTTTCAACATGCCACACGCCTTCCTGTAAAAAACATCTGATAATGAACAGCCTGCCGCGAGCCCCAGCACAAAATGAGTTGGGACCCATCACCTTCACCTTTTGCTCCGGTCGGTGAGCAAACAGCTCAGAAATATCACCTCTCTGTCTCCCTCTCTGTCTCTCCCTCCGCTGCCACCCAGGCGCATGGACGAAGCATTGCTCGCAGTGTTCAAATGCTTTCGAACACTGGTCAGCACACGATCCTCATCTTCATAGCCTGGGAGGTTAGGGCAGATAGAAAATCCATGTGAAATTGCGAGTCGCTTGAAAGGTTTCAGCTTGAAGCTCACTGGCGCCACTCCAGAATCCATCAAGTACCTTACTGCAGCACATGCTGAGTCTGTTGCGCTTCTCAATGATCTCGCGCATCTTGGAACAAGCGTCCTCCAGGTGTCTTTGCTTGTGGTTCACCCTCTCCTATTTGGAGCAGCTTTGATTGGGAACGGATCGGGCAGTGCTTCTACCGCAGAAATCAAAGGCATGTGCCCCCTCTATTGCTCTTCAAGTGTGGGTTCCGCACAAGCTGCCCATGACTGCTGCCACTTTATTGGCCTACTTTGTGGCAGAAACACCCCAAACAACGGCCTCGTCCAACTTGTAATCTGTCATGATCTTCTCTGCGTTTGTGAGATCTGGCAGCTCATCCATCTCGCCTTCTAGCAGCTTTCCGACCTTAGCTGGCGGGCAGCAAAAGCAAACTCTACTATGCCTGCAGACGGAAACTTATACCTGAACCGCCCAACTCCCTCTAACAATTCTGACCGAGCCACGAGGAGCGTGCACAACGCATTGGGCCGCTTGGCAAAGCGCAGGTGGTACTCTATCCGCTCCAAGTCCTCTTAGCACAACTCTCATGTTTTGGGGTTGACCCTTGGCACCGTGCTCTTGCGCTGGGTAAGTGCCTTTCAGCAAGTCAGCCCTGAGTAGATATGTAGAATATGGGCTTCATGGGGGGTATATATGGATAATGGAAAAGGAAATGGAAACAACTATATGATAAGAGAGTATATACCGGGTTTCTATTTTTTCAAGAGCTGGTGCCTGGACAGTACCAGTAGGTAATGACTGACGACTAGGCCCACTCTCAGGCAGCCCTTTCCCCTAAACCCTATATTTAGTAGTTGCCATTTTCTTTTCCATGATAACTCAGCTCCCCTGACCCTCCGAGTGACAGGCTAAAGGTTATGTAAGCCCAATGTAAACCTCTATAAGCTACAAATATCCCAGTTTCCGTTTCATTTTCCATTTTCTTTTCCATGTGATTCTCCATTATGTACAGGGATACTAACCCTAAACCCTATACACCCTTTACACCCTATATTCCCTATATACCCAATATTACCCCAATATAACCCTAATATTACCCCAATATAACCTTAATATTTCCCCATTGCCCGAATTGAAAAAAAAGGGGGAAGTGACAACCCAAAGGTTGGGTAATCGTCCTTTGTGGCGCGGTCTTCCTGGCCATTTCTCTTGCGCCAAACCTGCGAGGCATCTCCCAGGCTATGTCAGGGAGTTTTCCTTTGTACCCTTAGGGTTTGTACCCTTGGGTTTCGGGTCCCTAAACCATGGAATATGGCCCTCAATAAGAGTATTTGGGACCCAAAAGTTAAAAGTTAGGGGCACAAACATTAAGGGTACAAACTTAAAGTCTTTGACTACGAGCTTTGTAGCTGCATAAATTTTTGGTCCCCCTTTAGTAGTTAGAAAATGGGGTTTAGGGTATAGGGTATAGGGTTTTAGGTTTAGAGGTCTAAGTATATAGAATATGGGGTTTTCCTTAAAGTAGATACATATATATATATATGGGTTTCGTGGGGGTTTTTTGGGATAATGGAAAATTAACGGGAGACTACTGTATTATAGGGGGGTGTATGCTGGGTTACACAGGGATAACGGAAAGAAAAGGGAAACTACCATATCACAAGAGGGCACACACCGGGTCCACAGCCCCCCCCAGGTAGATAAAATAATGGGGGCTATAGAGGGATAATGGACAAGAAGATGGAAACTACTATTTAGGGTTTAGGGTTTGGGGTTGAACTCCCCCTAAAGTAGATAGAATATGGCCTTGGGTATACTATAATAAGATCCCCATATACCCCATATTCTATCTCCTTAAGGGGGACTATAGCCACTGTCCGTGGCTTCAGGGTTTAGGGTCTAGGGCAATAATCCATCTTCAGTGATGATACATGTCTAGGCTCTGGCGCATTACATTTCGCTGGATTCGATCCTAAGACATTTCGCAGCCTGTCAAGAACCACTCAGATGCCACCATTGTACAGCATGAATCAGCAGCCCCCCACCCATCCCAAAGTTAACTGCCTCGTATGAACCCTAAACCCGAAATAGTAGTTTCCATGATATTTTCCATTATCCCAATATATAGCCCCAATATAGACCCTATCATAATATGATAGTTTCCTTTTTTTTGAATTCTTCCAATATGACCCCAACGCTACCCCAATGGGTACAACCCCTATATAACCCCTTCAAAGGGACCCCCAATATATTATAGTAGTTTCCATTTTTTCCATTCTCCCAATATAAATCCCTGATATTACCCCAATGGGTACCTATATCTTCTATCCCCATAATCCCCTATATAATCCCAGTTTCCATTTCATTTTCCATTTGCTTCTCCGTTTGATTCTCCATTATTTGGGGTAATATATCCCATATACCTCCAGTTGTATTACCGCTAGCTAATCCCTATATTACCCCTATATAACCCCTATATGAATCCCTGCATACTATATAACCCTATATAATCCCGATATAATCCCTCCCTAATATTACCCCAATGCGTACCTATATACTAAACCCTAAACCCTAAATAGTAGTCTCCATTTGATTTTCCATTATCCTAATGTTAACCTGGGTACCTATATACTATACCCTAAACCCTAAATAGTCGTTTCCATTTTATTTTCCCTTATCCTAGTATTACCCCAATGGGTACCTATATATCCCCAAGCCTTCAGTTCCGTCAGCCTTGAGGTCACCGGATCATCCAGCTTGAATTTTCCTCAGGCCGCTTAGGGTTTAAAGGTTTATAGGGCATATATTGGGGTTATGTAGGGAATAATGGAAAAGAAAATGGAAACTGCTATCATGGGGTTATATAAGGTTGAGGGCTATTAGGGTTTAGGGGTTTCAGAAGCTTGGTGTAGCGACAACATCTGCGCGGTCCTGACCTCAAAAGCAAAAAGGCTTGACTTTTTCAGAGGCCTGGGAGCCCTGAGTGCTTCCTTGGTCAGAACCTACGGATCCCACTTCAAAGTGCGAAGCCACCAACAGGTTGCGGAGGCTTCTACCGGCAAGCAAACCGCTGTGTACTCATCTCTGAAGTACGGTGCGCCCGCGGGCACATTACTGGCGAAGCTCGTCCGTGGTCAAGCTTCCTATTCAACGTTAGGCCGCTGACCTTGCTTGCCCCGAAGCCCCCTGCAAGTCTCTCTCTCTGTCTCTCTTTTCTTTTCAGGGCTCTGCGCATAACCCCACTTTAAGGCTTTGCCAGGGGCTGTGCCTCAAGCTGCCCGATCGTCCTGCCATGCGGTCAGTACTAGTGCCTTCTTCTGGTTCTTCTTCTTCCATGGGGTATGCAGAACGCTCAGGCTCTGCTGGGGCTAGGCCCCGAACCCGCGCACAGTTCGACTGTCCTTTTTCTTCTTCTTCTTCTTCTTCTTCTCTCCCTCTGTCTCTCGTTCTTTCTCTGCTTCTTCCACAAGATGTGCTGGCGAGTCTCTCGCCATCCGCTCCACGTCCTTGTCCGGCTTGATCTTGCCAACAAACTGCCCACACTCCATCTTGCCAATCTGCACAGTCAACAGCCCTGTCGGACTCCGAGCCTTCTCCTCGCAAACACTGCAGGGGCAGCCAAGCTATCATGCTGGCCTTGTTGCTGTGAGGCTTCCTCATTTTTGCAGCTGGAGTGGCTAGAACTTCGTAGAGCTTCTCAATGTCTACCGTCTTGGTGTCTTGCCGCTTCTTCATCGCCTGCCAGACAACACTTGGCTGCCTAGTAACTCTCGCAAACCACAGCTGCATCAAGTTGCAGAATTCATTTCAGGAATCCGAGGAAAGCGCCTGAATGCAGCAAGCTTACGGTAGAAAACTCAATGATGATAGTTCGGTGTGTGTCTCTGATTACTTTCTTTACCTGATTTGCCTCCCGCAATCCTCTTGGCAATGAACGGTTCTCAAAAGCGCTTGGCACAACAAGGCTGCTGGGTGATCCTCTCTCTCCATGGCTTCGCAATGGCTTTCAGCTCAACCCCCTTCCCCAGCAAGCCTCGTTCAAGCGCACTACCCATCGCTCCTCGATGTTGAAGTAATCCTTGACTTGCAGGAGCAAGTTGGCCAGGCTAGAATGGGGGAGAGGGAGAGAGAGAAAGAGGAAGAAAGAAGGAAAAATAAGTAGATAGATTTTGACAACTAGCATGAGGCACACAAATGTGCGTCTCTATTAAAATGCAATATACAGGTAAGCAGAGAGGAGAGAGAGAGAGAGAGAGAGAGAGGGATATAGATGGATAGTGATAGTATGAGTGACTCGTGTTGTTGTAGGATCTTTTGAGCCTCTGATGGCCCTTGTTTGGTGCATCCACCTGCAATGTATGGCTTTGCGCTGTGTTGTTCTGATCTTGCTCGTCAGCAAGTTTGACTTCGCGTTCGGAGATGCCTCCACTTCTCGCAATGTCTTGCACAAGGACAGAAGGGATCAAATCAACATCAACTTACTTCCATGCGTAGACCACGTTACCCTCACATGCGCTCTGTTGGTCCTCCGTCTTTCTGCAAAGCTGTGGATAGATTATGAGCCATAATTAGTAATGACCCCCATTCTGCTCCCCTATATCCCCTATAGAAACCCCCTTTAAATAGTTTAGATTATGGCACACATGGATCTGAACGTGATGTCGGTGCTGGGAAGACTCTCCCAACTCACGAATGTCTGGGTCGATCGTCTCGTCATCGTCTTCCTTCAGCGTTGGCTTGTCCTGTCTCAGCTGAAATACTCACCCGCGCCTGAGAGAGGGGAAGCTAGCTTGGCCGTCCATGTTTCTCCCTTCCTACTACTTCCTCTCTGAGAACTTCACTCTGCAAGGCCATAAGTTCCCGTTCTGATTTGGGTCTCCTTCTCTGCTGCGGCTGCAGGCGTGGCCCCCATGCCGTTGCCAGGCATATTTCCCATACCTCAGCGCCCAACTGAACCATCTACGTTCAAAGCATCCAATTAGCCAGCATGGGGTGCAGGCTTCATTGAGATCTGCAATGACCAAGCAGCATGCTGCACACGCGAAAGGCAAGACAAGGCGCCCATCATTGCCGCCATGGGGTTCATGGCATTCATCCCTGGCTGAGGAGGCGCGCCCCCGGCTTTGGCCATCATCTGCTGCATGTTCATCATGTTCATCCTTAGCCCAATGCGCAGCACTAGACTCGCTATAAAGTCTAGGAGAAAACATGATATAGTGCCTAAAAGTGTGACACCAAGGCAGTACAAGGCTCATCATCATGGCCATCATCGGGTTGTTGCCTCCCATCGATCCCATCATGCCAGGGCAGCCAGCGCAAGCGCCGGGGCATCCAGGACAGGCTCCACAGCCACCCGGGCAACAGCCGGGACATGCAGCGGGACAGCTAGGGCAGCCTGGACAGCTTGGGCATGCTGGACAGCCAGGAGGACAGCCAGCTGGAGGACAGGCTCCCGGCGGTCGCGGGCAGCCGCAGCCGCAGGGACCGCAGCCGCAAGGGCAACCGCAAGGGCCGCAGCAACCGCCGCACGGACAGCCGCAAGCACACCCACAGCCAGGACAGCCGCAGCAACCGGGACAGCCCCCGCAAGGGCCGCCGCAGGGCGCTGGCCCAGAACCCGCAGAGCCGCCTTCCGCAGGAACCAGAGCTGCGTCCTTGCCCTCCATGGCTGGAGTCTTCACAGCGTGCTGTGCGTGTTGTAGGGATTTTTGGTCAGTTGGTGGGCTGTGAGGTTTTGAAGTAGTGCTTGGACAATAGAAGCAGAAACTTATTAGTAGCGACTGCTTGGCCGCCAGCAATAGTCTACTGCTTGCTTTGCCTGTGTCCTGCTGGCAGGTGTCTGTGTTGTCATGCAGAAAGTAGCACAGACACAAGCTAGGTTGGGTTTGCTGTGGTCAGACTCGCTATGACTAGTTGATCAGTTGTTGATCTTGACCAGGCCCTGAACATGTTTCGTGCGGTTGGTTGCAGATGCTGCTCATGGCTACAGAATCAAGACTACACATGAATACACCATGCACCAAAACAGCAAAGGTCAGGCACATAGCTGGGGTCACAGAACTGAGGAAGTGTAAGTCAGATCGAGCCAGTTCAAAAATCACACGTACTACAGGCCAAAAACCAAGTTGCACTCGCATCCTGATGGACAATGGGGCAATTTCTGCATAGCACTGCTAGCTAGATGGAGGAAAAGCACCAGCAGCAATGTCTTGGATTGGATTGGAGGGCATGTGAGCCCTCTCGCCTCGAAGTATAACATGTTCGTACAACTCCCCGCGATTAACCAATAGCAGGCCCTTCCTCATCAGCGAGCGCGCTCGGAAGCAGCCGCGTCATTGCTTTGTGGCTGCCAGCGTGAGCTTGAAAATGCTCGAAAAATTACAATTCCCTTCGTGACTGCAACAGTGAGTAAGCATTAGGAGGTCTTTGCCGCTCGCTGCGGCCTAGGACAAGACACAGACATGATCACATAAGATGGCTACCTCAATACGCATTATGGAATATTCCCTACATGGTAGTTTCCCTAAATAAGGGGACCCCAATCTGGACCCCCAAATACTGGATTCCTTCTTCTAGGAAACCCCTAAATGGTACCCCTAATTTGGGAAACCCCCGCATGATTCCAGGATCCCTAAACACTAATCCCTAAATCCTAAGCACTACATGATTTGAGGTACATTGCTCAACAAAGTGGGCATTGGCCACTGAACTGCAGGTGCCGAGCCCGAACTCTAAGATTAGCCGACAGCTGCAGCATGAACAGTAATGATAGTAATAATAGTTAGTAATAATATCTACTAGTGATAGTAACCCTAAGGGTCCAAGTACCCAATAATCATATGCTTACCCAAAACCTGCACTGTAACTACTATTACCCAGATCCCGAGTACCTAATTATTGGGTACATGGACCCCTAAACCAAAACCCCATATACCCTTGTATACCCCTATATACCCCCTATATATCCCCTTTAAAGGGACCTAAATATCGGGTAAACAAAAATCCAACTCGAGGCAAGCGTGCCGCTTCTGCAGCTTAGACCTGGGAGCGCTTGAATAAAACCAGCGAAAATATTCAATATTAATATAGGACCCATTGGAGTTGTGTTAGGGTTATATTGGGGTAATATTGGGGTTGTATTGGGGTAATATTGGGGTTATATTGGGGTTATCTTAGGGTTATATTGGGGTAATCTTGGGGTTATATTGGGGTTATATTGGGGTAATATTAGGGTTATATCGGGTTTAGGGTTTAGGGTCTCGGTTGGGGGTATAGTATTAATATTACTACTATTACTATTGCTATTGTTACTGTTATTAATATTGTTAATATGGCAATCTAGATTGACCCCTAAAAACCCATTGAAAAATCCATTGAAAAATATTGGTATATAATATAGGGTCCCTTATTAAAGCCATTAAGGAAATGTATAATATCCCAGGGACCTACCCAGCAATCTAGCAGAATTGTAGGCTTGCAAGGCAGTCTTTCGCGAGTCCAGAACCGAAGCAATTCAAGCCGTTGCCATCTCGAACTCACTCCTGGCTTCCTGGAGCAAAGGCTTGTTTCTGAGAAGGCCTAGTCGAGCCCTGAAAACCGAAAAAGCAAACTGTTGGGGGAGAGATTGTGATGGTAAAGACGCGCAGTGCGTTTCCCTTTTGATGGAAACAACAAATCATAGCTCATAACGCTTTCTATTGTTGAGTCCATTATTTCAATCCGTGCTGACGGTTAGTAGAGAATGGAGGAATAGATCCCTATAGTGGCCCCTACATATTCACCGCTAACATGCTGTAGTAGTTTTCAGTGTCCTCCGTTTGTTCACGCCTAACGATTAGCAAGCTAACCCTGAACGTACACCCGCCCGACTAACAATTAGCAAGCTAACCCTGAACGTACACCCCATTGTACTCCTAAGCACCCCCCCAGTTTCCTTTAAATTTCATTTGATGCTCCACTATTCCCATGTTTCCTCTTGTCACCCCTGAATATCCTCCATGGAATCCTTGTTTCCACTTCCTTGACCAGTTGATTCTCCATCCCCTTTTCCCTAACCCTAGACCTTCACCCGAAACCCCAAACTGTATAGTTTCCATGTTCTCTTCCATTGTTGCAATCTGGCCCTCTCCAAGTGGCCAGCTGCGGGGTTTGCTGCACAGTTCGCGATGTAGCAGGCTGCTGGGCCTTGCAAGCATGCTGTATTTCTTAAAAAGTGAACAATATTGAGACCATTTCAAGCTTCCAGTGCGCCAATCGGCTAAGATGGCGTGATTGCATCGATCAGGACAAGGACCAAGTGGGAATCAGTCAGGGAACAAATAAACTGACGGAAATTAGACTCGTTCCATACATACATATATCTTATATGTGTATACATATATATATATATGCTTCTTCTTCTTCTTCTGTTCCTTCTTGCTCTTCATCCTTTGATGCTGCTTCAATTCCGGGCACTCCAGGTGTGGCCCCCACCTGTTCAGAGCGAAAAGGGACTGGCTGCTCTCCCTTGGCAGGTCTGCCACGCTCCCCCTGTGACCCCGCCCAGAGAGAATCCCCCTGCTGGCAGGATCTTTTTTCTTTGGCTCGGCCTGCATCCGTCTTTATCCTCACACTACGCCGCCTACTTTTTAACACCCGGAATTTTAAATAGGTCTAACAGGTCATTTATACTATCTCCGAAGCCCGTGGCCCGAGGCCGCCTCATTTTTATACATCCGGAAAGGAACTCCAATTTTAGGCCACAGTACGGTGAGCGCACTCAATAAGAAATCGTTCCAAACAAGAAATCAGGGGCTGGCCAGACTGGAATTTCTTAACCCAGCGGCCAAACTGGGCCGAATTTCTGACCGCTCCTTTTGCACGTTTCTTGAGCTGTTGTTGCTGGAAGGGGTGGAGCGGCTGGAGCAGGCCCCCTCCACTCCAGCCCCTCCAGCCCCTCCAGCCCTCCAGCCCCTCCAGCCCTCCAACCCACGACCGCTGTCGCTTTGGTGGAGTGCTTGGTCATTGGAGGCGCACTTAGCGGAGGTCTGTGGAATGAGTTTACCTTACCGCCCGATGGGGCGACAGCTTGCAGGCGGAAGGACGTGGTCATGGGAGGCGCGATCAGTGGGGCTTTAATTCCCTAATCATACATGTTTATAGTTTATAGGGGTCGAAGGTTTGGGGTTTTGGGTACACATGCGGGGTTTTGGGCCTAGGATTTAGGATCGCCCCCCATACTCTACGTTTGCCGGTCTGAAACCCAAACCCAACCGTAAACAAAGCCTAAACCCCCCTGACTAATTCAGAAAAACTCTAATTTTCTGGCACTTCAATCCTGACAGGTCCACGCCATCTATGTGGACAAGCTCAGAGGGCGGCAGCAACAAGCGGCAGCGGCAGCGGCAGCGGCAGCAGCAGCAGCAGCAGCAGCAGCAGCAGCAACAGAAACAGCAACAGCAGCGGCAAAGATACTATAAATCTTGGTATGTGGACCCCCAAGATGGTACCCCTGCTTTTGGCAAACCCGAAGCCGTATAC